GGGGGGGGGTGGAGGGCTGAGTAAACAGCGGCTGCAGAGCACTCTGAAAGGCTGAAGCACCGGTAAAGGTTACTCGCGCTTTCTATAAAGCGTTATTACCCATTCCTAACCATGCTGACTGCAAGATGCTGTCTACTGCTAAGGGCTTTATGCTGAGGCACTGGTAGAGACCACAAACACTCCAAAATAAGTGGAAACCTTCTAATTTTTTAATGTTTATAGCAGACAACTGGGGGTGATTAGAGGCCTGGCCTACTCTGAAATCAGGCCCTGCCCTTCTAGGTGAACCAAACCCAAAAGCCAGACTTAGGGGATGTGGATATGAGATGACCTCCTGAAACTCAAGGACATAGGAGGGGAGGGTGGTCTGGTGAGGTTACTTTTTGATTTGCAGTAACATGAAAGCCAAAGATGGAGAATTTCTGGAGAAACAGAATTGAGTGTCCAATGACATTTTAAGAACAGATTTAGTCATCTCAGGCAAGAAATCACTTGATTCTGTGCTTGGAGCCCTTCATTCCACTGTGACAAGCGGAGTCCCTCTGGGACCATCACTAAGCACAGAAAGACAGGTCTCCCTCAGGCACACAGTACGGACCCCTTACATCCTCCACTCCAACTGTGGCCGGGGCAAGAGCCTAGGACATGCCAGCCCAGAAGGCACTTTCCATCCTGCGACATCCTGGGGCTATTTTACCAGATTTTATTCTTCACCGTGTTTTTGTTGCTGTTAAAACAATGCTCATACTTCTGCAGAGTGAGCAGCAAATGACTCCAGCTCCAGCTTTTAGGCCAATGACATGTTACCACTTTGTTACCAGGTTTCATTTTTTGCTACTTACATCATTGAAAAGTCCCAAGTCATTGCTCAGAAAACTCAGTGATCATGACTCAGAGGAGTCTGGGTAACCCAATGCCACACTTGGGCACAATTCATCATCACAAAAGAGCATGGAGCAACCTCATGGGCCAAATTTTCACCGGGTGCCCCACAGCCTAATCATGCAAAGTCCACTGGTAATTAAACAAACAGGATCCTGAGCTACCAAACCATGTTGCAAACTCAGTGCTTTATAAGTCAAGGTGACAATGTTGTGTTTTGAGTCGGAGAGAGTAGGGTGCAAGTCTTGGGAAGTCTCAGCTCAGTCAGTGCCAGTTCCTTCCTATAAAAGTATTTGACCAGGTTAGAATCCCCCTGGTTAGAAGACAGGAAGAGCCTTGTTCACTCATTTACTCAAAATGCAGGACATCGGGACTTGTTTTCCTAGAAAAGGTTCCTACACAACCTCAGAGCATGGAGAATGAGGCCTTCCTGAAGCCTTATTTCTGGATAATTCGTGGGAAGTGTAAGCTCTTCTTGGCCCTCTATTCTCTGAAGCAGGCACATGCTGACCCTGCTGGTACAGCAAACAGCTCAGGGCCTCGCTCAGTGCTGTGGCTTAAAGAGCTCTCCCTGCCTGCAACGTGAACTGATGAACAAAGAAGAGGAAATCCCAGTTCCCAAGAACATAGCCTACTAACCTTCACTCCCTGGTTGGAGGCGAGGCACCTTCTTTTGCCAAGGATGAAAACAAAACACCATTAAAAGGGAAACAAACCAGAGAACTGAGCGCCTTCCCTATTTTACTCCTCCCAAGCCAGGAATTCCAATGACTTGGATGCTCGATTCTGTAAGATGTTGGCCAGAAACAAATTCTAACTAAAAGCTCAGGTCCTTTCCCATGGTCCAGATGCCACATGGTTGGACGCAAAGCTGAGAACCACCTAACATAACCTCAGACCTTCCTTTCATTCTGCAGAGCTGTGGCTATGGTTGATAGACACAGACAAGTAGGGGAGAAGCAGGGGAGAAGCAGGGGTGTTCCGTGGAGGAGCTGACATGTGATTGAAGGCGTGCCTGCCTCCTGAGCGCCCACCTCTGGCCGGCGTGCTACCGTTTAGCTTCATCTGGGCTGCGTCTGATGGACATGCCAGTGGAGACCCCAGACTAGGAAGTCAGTCTCTTACGCAGTGTGAGAGATAAAGATGTTTTGCTGTGTGCTGGCATGACTTCCTTGCCAGGTGTGGGCATCCTGAAATCTGAATGCCTACCATGGGGACCAGGCTCTGTGAAGGCATGTCCTTGCCATCAAGGAACTTTTAATCTGGAGAGAAAAATTATAACTAAGTCTACTCAAAGTTCTAGGGAGGCACAGAACTTTGCTTTGGGAGTGAGGGATAGCTTCACGGTAGCAGCAAAACTGGAATCGCTGGGCAGGCCATATTTGTGGAAGCCGATGCAGGCAGGAGGAATGGTGTATAAACAAAGCATATAGCTAAGAGAGCATTTGGGGTCAAGCAAACCCTTGGGTGAATGATATAGAATGGCTAGACACAAGATGGGGCAAACAGCCAGGGGCCAGATGATTGAGATTTGTGATGCTGAAACAAGGAGAGTAGACTTCATCTTGTGGGTGATGAGAAGCTGTTGAAATCTGAGCAGTAGAGGCTCAGTCAGATCAGAATGTTAGAAAGATGATGACTGTCAATGGAAAGGCGGGACTGGAGGATTGTGAGAGTAGAGTCCGGATGAGTCCAAGCCCTTGGAGATGGTTGGGAAGGCAGTGGAGAGGAGAAGGGAAGGAAAGAAACTGACAGTACTTGAAGGTCAGGGTAGAACAGGATGAGAGAGAAGAGAGCCTAATTAGGATGGCTCCTTTGATTCAGGTTTGGTGAGACAGAAAATACAGAAGAGACAGAAAATTCAGGGGCGTAGCAGGTCTGGGGTGATAAGAGAGAGATGGTGAACTCTTTTTTAGATCAGTTGAGTGTCACTGCCTTTGGGTCAGCCAGGTGGAAAAGTCAACTGCTCAAGATCTCTGAAGGGAGGCCTGAGTCAGAGAACCATTTTCCCTGTCAGTAGCACATGGTGCTTATTTTAGCCGTGAAAGTGGCTGAGATCACTCAGGGAAAGAGCATGAAGTGAGAATGGGGGGGAGCCAGGGAGAGCCCTGGGAGTACCAGGCTTTTAGGGGAATGTGTGGGAAGAGGAGTCCATGATGAAAACTGAGATGATAAGGTCAAAGGGTAGGAGGTTTCCGGGAGAAAGCACCACCATCCATGTGTGGACACTGGGCTCCCATGCCACATTGTCCATCCTTCTAGATCTTTCTGCAGTCCACAGTGGTTTATCTTCTCACAGCTATTTTTTATAACAGTCCCACATCCATCTTTTATACGCTCTCTATCTGCTGGTCTTTACCAATGGGATGAAGTTTCCAATTATGCTGACTTCTATTTCCCTTTTAGAGTTTGGATGACATAGCCACAGAGAGGCTTTGTGGTGCATACAAAACTCACCCAGAAGCTGGGCTCCAGTTAGAACTCAGGCTGCTTTTCTCAAATGC